TGCTGGCTGAAACCCGGCAGACTAAAGCAGGTTTCTGGGGTTTTGTTTAGCTTCTATATTTGTTACATAGTTGCTTAGAGTTGCAGCTCAGAGGCCTGCAGCGGCAGGCGGGGAAAGTTGGTTTCCTCCATTACTGAAGCAAGCAAACCTCATGTTAGTTTCAAGCTGCCTGGATGCTGGCCGCCATCTTGGCTGTCAGTTAATTTGCATATCTCACTGATTAGCCAATGGGAAGGGTAGCGGTCGTACGCCAATTACCATGTTTTTCTTTTATTAGATAGGACAATTTTTATTGATTCATAGAGGAAGGGAGAAGAAGAGGGATAGAAATATCAGTGATGAGAATCATTGATTGGTTGCCTCCTGTACTCCCAACTGGGAATTGAGCCTGCAACCTGGGCATGTGCCCAGACAGGTAATCAAACATTGACCTCCTGGTTCATAGGTCGATGCTGGCCAGGCTCAAGCCACGAGGCTTTGACCAACAGAACTACTCTAGGGATGATTATAAAATTCATCTCTAGGGGAAGACTGCTCTTTTGAAAAAACAGCTTAATGGGTCTACTGTATATTTGAAAGTAAAGCAAAAATTCATCCTGGAATGAAGAAGCTCAGGACAATTACGAACAACTGTAATTCACAGTGAGGTAACAGGATGACTACACTGTGGGCAAGGCTTCATCTTTGCAGGTAGCTTGCTAATGCTTGTTTGCTCTGTTGTTTTGGGACGTGGGGGTGCCTTTATTTACTTTGAGTTGATTTGGAGACAAAAAGAGATGGGACTCTAGAAAAGGCAAGACTGATAAAGAAGTCTCTTTTTCCTGACAAGAGTTGGCTCATGGAACCAGGTAATTGAGGAGAGGATCCCAAATGAAGGGACATGACCAAAGCTTTCCAACGGTGAATTATGCCATTTAGTTTTAAGATTTTTCTTGCAAGCTCAGGCTTCCACTGAAAATATTTTTAAGCATGGCAACCTTGTCTTAGCTGTTCTTTGGGAAAATAAGGAAGGGTCTGTGCTCATGCTTAAGAAGATATTGCTGGAAGTGTATATTGGTACAACTTTGGGAAGCTCTTGGACTGTTTCTTGTGTACCCTTCACACTAACAATTCTACCCTAAAAAATTCTCACAAACAGGTTTTAGAACTTTCAAGAATATTCATAGCAATATACATAATGGGGGAATGGAGAAAGTAAAATAATGTTAGTAACTGGAAAATGGATATATAAATCATGGTATTTTTTATATGACAGAGAATATAAAATACAACTACATACAACAGGGATGGATTCTAAAAACAAAGTTGATTGAAAACAAGCAGCAATATAATACAGCATGGAAATAATTTTTATCAAGTTCAAAGGTAAGCAAAAGTAAATAATGTGTTATCTAGGAATATATATAGTAATTACATAAAGACAAGTTAAATTATTTTTAAAAATCAGGATAGTGAATACTTTTGGAAGGAAGCAGGAAGTAGGTAGGATTTGGGAAGAGCACACGGAAACTTCAATAGTACAGGTTAATGTTCTTTTTCATAAATTGGGTGATACATTTTATTATGTTTTGTAATTTACATTAACATATTCTTTTTCTATATATCAGACTTTTCCCCTTATTTTTTTCTATCACTGTTTACCCCCTTATACCAGTGGTTCTCAACCTTCCTAATGCCGCGTCTCTTTAATACAGTTCCTCATGTTGTGGTGACCCCCAAACATAAAATTATTTTTTTTGCTACTTCATAACTGTAATTTTGCTACTGTTATGAATCGTAATGTAATTATCTGATATGCAGGATGTATTTTCATTGTTACAAATTGAACAAAAACAATATGTAATTATATATGTGTTTTCCGATGGTCTTAGGCGACCCCTGTGAAAGGGTCGTTCAACCCCCAAAGGAGTCGCAACCCACAGGTTGAGAACCGCTGCCTTATACCCTCTTGTATTTCCCCGTTTCCCCCTCCCCCCTACATGTCAGACTTTTTTTTTTAAACTATGCATACAATTACTGTACAATTCAGCAATTGCACTCTTTTTTAAAAATATATTTTATTGATTTTTTACAGAGAGGAGGGTGAGGGATAGAGTTAGAAACATCGATGAGAGAGAAACATCAATCAGCTGCCTCCTGCACAACCCCCCCTCCCCCTCATTGGGGATGTGCCCCCAACCAAGGCACATGCCCTTGACTGGACTCGAACCCGGGACCCTTCAGTCCGCAGGCCGACGCTCTATCCACTGAGCCAAACTGGTCAGGGCCTTGTCAGACTTTCTTAAAAGCGAAAGAATAAACTGTCAAATTGCTTGACAGCAGAGTTATACTTCTGACAGTGCCAATGAACTGTGATTTAATTTTTTTTTCCTTTGGGGTGAAGGGGAAGAGATTCCCATTTAAATAGCTGTGTTGTAGCATCGTTGTGAGCTAGGGCACACTTTCTAATGCTCTTGGGACATTGATGTTTTCTGCCCAACATTCTGCAGGAACTCTAGGGCGAAGGAAGCAATAGTGGGACCATATGGAGACAGCAGAAAGACTTGTTACTTATTTTACACCTTGTAAAACAGAATAGTGTTTCATAGTCCACAAGCTGCTTCAGCTGATATAATGTACTTTTTTGATGGGTCTCCAAAGGTTGCATCATAGAGTCCGAGGGGGAGGAGTTGTCCCTCTTTCTTTAAAATAGGTTTTCTGTCTTTTGTAAAAGAATTTATTGTAGCTGGTTTATCACCCAAGCTAGAGTCTACCATGATCCTCAATTCCTCCTCTCTCTTTCATAGCTCAGTCCTGTCCGCAGGCTGACACTCTATCCACTGAGCCAAACCGGTTTCGGCAGCCGCTCTTGGATTTCTCATCCTAGTATCATCACACTCTGAGGTTTTTGGGTAAGTCGCTTGGTCAAACCTCAGTTTCCGTGAGGATGAGATTATCTTGGGTGTCCGTGAGGACAGTGCAGCGGATACAGAGCTGTTTCCAGAGTCTAGCCGTCTAGTTCGAATCCCCTTCCCACTTAACGTCTGAGGGTTTGAGGTCATCACACGGTCTCGGTTTCTTCAGCTTGACAGAGCATGCTTTAACTTCAAAAAGTTAATACTCGAGGAACCCAGCCACCGTTTAGCACCTTCCGGGCG